CTGGCAACTCGTCCTCTCTCCCCACTACCTGTGCTGCTGCTCGGTCGGTGGCTCGGTCGGTGTCTCAGCTGTTCAGTGGCTCAGCTGTTCTCCTCAACTCGGACTAAATATTACGAGTTACGGAGGTTCGCGAGTCCACCGAGTGAGTAAAGTGAGTAAAAGGCTCGGGACGATAGTGGATTATGGATCAATACAACCAGTAGCGTTGTGTTTCATCGAAGAACCAACGAAAGACCTCTCTCGATAATATTTTTTCTTTGTTTTTTTCTCGTTCTTTTTTTTTTCAAAGTGCAAGATCTTTGTAAGTTCCTTTTTTTGGGTGTGCTCTAGAGAAGGTAGGATTGAAGGTGGCAATTTCCTTTAATTTTGTGTTTTAACAGACATAAAAAGTGCTAAAGAAAGATAAATGCCTATTTATTTTTAGTATTGCCATTATTTTCATTCCGAAATTATAATCAACGTGATACTATTTAAAGGGCAAATACGTCAGACTGTGCTACCCATTTTGTGTAATGTGTGTGTGTGCGTGAAGTACTTTGCAAGAAGCGAAGGTAATTGAAGTGAAATTAGAATCATTTGTCTTCTATTACGATGCATTAGCATCTTTTGATTTAGATCATCGCTGGTGAATTCCTAGGATATTATTCGTTTATATGAAAATATCTTTTGAATGTATAAAAGATAAAGTGAAATTCTCTTTAGTTATTCGTTTTAGAGCACGAGTTTTTTGGAATTGAAGATAAGCTGTAGTGAATTCCCTCTGAAATCAACTGTCGATTATTCCAGTTTGTAGATCGATATAGCCAATTTATTATGCAAAGAAAACTTTGCTTTGTTGCTTAGTTCAGATGATACATTGTGATATCAGTATTTTGAATTGTAATTTGAATAGTTGACATTTTGGCTGAATTTGGATAATGAAATGGAAGAGAGTCTTTTTTACTGAATTGGGTTTTCATTCATTTTTTCATGGTTGTAGACTAGGGAAAGTGAAAGTTCAATGGCTGCTTTATTTGTTTTGCTACTTTAGATTGTATTGTGGTTTGGTTAGTGGTTAGGTTACAATAGTTGTCTGATTGACTTTACTGCTATTTGACTTGGCTGTGTATCTGTTATGCCAAGCTTTAAATTAGTGATTACCTTGTATTGGTATATATATGTAAATATATGTAGACAGAAGAAATAGAAAGTAGATAGGTAGATAAATTGATACATGTAGGTACAGATTGAAATTGTTCAGGATATTCTAAGTTTTAACTTTTTCTTTGATTTGCAGTTTTTTGAGCAAAGGCAGAGTAACATGCACTGGAAGTCATTATTAATAGAAGTTTGTTATAGAAGAACATACAGACATACTTATGTAGTGATGCAAGTTCAGTTGCATTATTATTGGTAATGTTGACTTGTTACATGCGTGTATGTCACAAGATTTTTTACTTCTTTGTCAAAGGCCAACTGCCATAATCCAATTTTCCTGATTTTCACCTCTCCAAAATGTGTATAGTATGGCAATACAGAGCTCCTAGTCTGCCCTGGCAAATTATTGTCAAATAAGGAACTAGGTCATGCACAGCCCACCCCGAATGTGCAAGGTGGAGGTTTGTTAGCTTTTACTGGAGTGTAGGCTAATGTATGGAGGCTCTTGCATTTGCCTCATATAGCACGTAGTTGGGTTTGTCTTGCTATCGCATGCTCCCTGACAGATATCATAGCAATATGCAAATATTTTTTTTGAGAGTGGGAAGGGATATTTTGATAGCCCAGTCAACATCATTGAGATAGAAAAAAATATAATTTGAAAGCTGTAGAAGCTGCCTTGTAAAGATTATAAGTCATCATTGGAACAATAAGGACATTATACTTATAAAACATAAGGAATCTCTTATAATTTTTCCTTGCATGCAGTCTGCATTGTAGGAACAACATTTTACTCCACTGGATGATGCTTGAACAATAGATTGCAAATAATAAGATACTAATTGTCATTAATCCCTTTTATCCCTCTCTCTGTATAGCAGGACATAACAGTATGCATGGGAAATGGTTAGCCTCAAGTTTGTGTCATTATGCTATGCTTTTACCTATAGTCTACTTCTTTTTATTGAGCTGAAGATGCACTTGATAGTTTGGTGATGACTAGTGGCAGGGTTAACTAGTAATTAGTGAATAATCATTTGATAATTGACAGGTCATGGATGATGTAAATACTGTGATATTATTTGGACATCTTACACTCAATCAGCCATCACCAAACTGAAGTGTAGCCTATCATTGATTAAAGTTATCACTGCTTGGATAAGAAGAACGGTGCTAAGTTCTTTCTTTCTAGAATTCCAATAACATGCTGACACCAGGCTTGTTTACATGTTTAGTGATTTAGATGGGTCCACAAGCATAAGGAGTTGTTAACGAGACCTACCTGATCTTGCATTATAGATGTTATATTAATACAGGTAGAGATGTTATGATGATTGTTTATATTCTTACTCTTATTCTTATTGGTCGTATATATATATATATAGACCGTATATACTAGTAATATTAGAATTTATATTTCCCCCAGAAAATTAAAGGAACAGAATAAACAGGTAAAGTCACATAGTAATTGTCTCCTTGATGACTATCCTAAGCCTTTGTGAAGCCATCTATGTGTAAACAAAACCGACAAAACAAACCTACAGTGGCCAGTGTATGTACGGGATACCAGTGGATTAAAAAGTTCAGTCTGTAGTTAGATTCTTACCAGGAGTAAGGAATTCATGGTTATAGTAGAATGATTTTTTATCATTCCTTATATTGTTAGAAAGATCTTTGAAAATTAGGTGAAATGACAAAATAGATGTAATAGTGTTTCCCATCAAATTCAATGTGGCTGGTGACTACAACATAACTTATTAAATTTTTGTTTTATATATATATATATATATATATATATATATATATATATATATATATATATATATATATATTATATATAATTTACATTTATGTAGAATTCCTACAGGTAGGGTTATCAGTTATTATATGTAGATAATTTGTCACAGCATAGACTGTTACAAACCAGTTTTATGCCTTGGGGATACTTGTGCAGGAAACAGAACATAAGTAACATTTCAAAAGGTACTTAATTGAATTAATGTTACACCAACTGGAAGCTAGTTAGGAAAATGGGTGACAAAGTTGTGAAACTATAAAAGTAATTCTTCGCACACAAAGAATAGTGATCTGTTGATATTTTGCCCTCCAGTAGTGTTTGTGCATATGTTAGTTCCTCTTTGTACTTGATGACCTGCCTACCTTTCAGAGGAAAGATCATGGGGAGTTGGGGGTTTAGTAGCAACAAAAACTGAGCAAGACCTAACCAGTGGCTTGATTTTCTTTGTCAGTGTGAAGAGACAGTTTTTAATGAGTAAAGGATGGAAATGTAATATTCAGTGGAAATGGTAATGTCTTTACACATAGGATGGCTCCACAAGTGCATAGCTACCAAGTTATCAATTAGTCAACCCTGCGAGCTCACCTGGGGCAGTACTCAAGAAAGGACTATGACTTTTCTTTGCGATTTTGTTTCTGATTTGTACTGTTAATGCTGGTAATAGAAATAACTTGTAAATCATTATAGACCCTATTTTGATAATCTATTGTAATAAGATAGGGTAAATGTGGCAGTAATTCTTACTGATATAACATCTTTAATATTATACATTTATTATATTTAAATGTGATGTGAATACCGCCACCTTAGTTCATGTCTCCTCGAGGTTTTAGATGATTAGAAAAAAAAATCTTTAGCATGCACAATCATTATTGATGCTGTTATTATTATTATTGACATTATAATTATAATGAGTTTATTGACATTACTAACAGCATTTTAAGATCAAAGAAAATATATATACAAAAAGGATAAACAGGTGATATAAGATTAGCTTTTTTGTGACTAAGTGCTTGTGGAGTCATCTATATGTAAGATAATTTGTGGAAGCTTTGGGGTAAGCCAGGGACTCTCAAGTTGAATAGTAGGGGAAAAGTATTATCAATGTCTGTAACAAAATGGTCCTTTAAGGAGGAAATTGCTGGTAAAAATAAGTTCTTTATATATGAACCATTTCCTGTCGGGATGGCATGTGTGTACATGCCATTTTTGTTGTGAAATAAGTCGTGAGTGGTATCACATCTCGACCATTTCCACGCCATTGGCTCATCGGCTGGGGCTTGTTTATCTCCATTAGTATTGGTATCATTTGTGTGGTGAAACTTTTAGGCAACAGCAACTAAACTGATGGTAAACCTTCACATTTAAAAATATTCTAAAGATGATATCAAAACATAAGCTCTTAGGTTCCTAATGTTGCCCACAAACTACCGAATGAGCCAGGCACAAACAGGAAACTGTCAGTGCATGCCAATAACCCCATGTCAGTGGCCTACTAGCCAAATTTTTTAACCCAAGGGGTCAGTGCATTAGTAAAACAAGAACAAATGTCTTAAGAAAACAAAACATTTGAAATCATATTTTATGCTATAGTGGATAGCAAACCTAAAGATTATTAGCTCTGTGACTTAATTATAATATAATTATGTGCTGGTAACATAGCAGAGTTGCCAATTTAACTTGTGCAATACCAGTATTTTGAGAATTTGACCTTTATGAAAAATTAGCTATATTAGTTGCTCTTTATTGAGCTATGTGAAATCCTCAGTTGTAGACATAATAGGATTGTCATGTTTTCTAAAGCATGTAAATGTGAAGGCATGAGTATTATTAAAACATTCAATTTTGTTTAGTAATTAAAAAATTGTTTTAGAATAAGTGCATTAAATTTTTTTTTTTCTTTACTACTACTACTGCTACTATTATTATCATTATCATTATCATTATTATTATTATTATTATTATTATTATTATTATTATTATTATTATTATTATTATTATTATTATTATTATTAATATTATTATTATTATTATTATTATTATTATTATTATTATTATCATTATTATCATTATTATCATTATTATCATTATTATTATCATTATTATTATCATTATCATTATCATTATCATTATCATTATCGTTATTATATGATAATTATTAGATATTATATGATAATATGATTATTATGATGATGATGATGATGTAGGGCTATGCA